CTTTCCTTGTTCAATTTCTTGATAGCTTGGAACCGTATCCCTACCATCAGAGTTGACAGGGATCCAGTGGCCTCGTATTGTTTGTGCGTGATGTTAGGATGTGGTTTCATGGCAGATTTCAGTTATGTGCAAAGCAGCAAGTGGTGAGGGGCAAGACGAGTGGATCCGTAGGGGGAAACTGCTGGTGTTCGGCACCTGACATGCGTATTACATGTTTTGGACGTTTTTATGTCATCCTAGTTCTAGTCTCATCTCATGGACTTAATGCCTATTAAAGATTAGCATGCATTAAGAGTGTTCCTGGACTGCATATCTTTGATTTAGTTTCGGTGAAACTGCTCCACATTGTGAACTGAAGCACAATAAATGAGGATGGTTTGGAGCTTCACTGAGAAGCGTACTCCTGATCTGGACTGTAACAATGAGGTAGATGTTGATCTAAGTTGGGTTTGGTGCAGTCCTGCTCCTCTGACCCTGCAGTGAGCCATCTTAGGGAGATAAATTTGCAAAAAGTTGGCACGAAGTAGTTTTCTCTTGGGCTGTTTTCTCTTTATCTGATTCACCAGTAGTATAAATAAGTACTAATTTAAGTGCAGAGCAGGGGAAGGGACCATGTGAATGCATGCAGAAGAGAGGGTGGGATCACAGCATCCCTGGGTTAAGACGTCTTGGAAGTATATCTTTGCAGTTTCCTACTTTCCATTAGGAACGTAGCTGTCTTGGGGACCATGAGAAGGAAAGAAGGAAATACTGAATGTTTCCATCTGTTCAAGGTTCAGTCCATAGGCTGCTTCTCATGCTCATGGCTATTGGCGTGCGAAAGGAAAGGAAGTACCTTTTTGCACAAGACCAGTGGTCAGAGTGGTTTCCCCAGTAGTGGGAAGTGTGAGGCACTTCCCTGCTCAGCGTGAGGAAAACCAAACCCACATCTGAACCCCCAAAAGAATCCTTTGATCTTTGGGGAACTGGTTATTATGGTCATTGTGGGTCATTGTGTAAATAGGAGAGTGAATCACGGGAGCAGATTAGAGCACAGTAGGAGCCTGGCTGCAGAGCAGTGGAGGCTCTTGGATTGTCTTTGGATTTGTCTTTGGTTGCCAAACCCTGGTGCTCACCTTGTGCCTGTGTCTTACCGGGAGAGCTTCACAGGACAAAATTCATGTAGTTTTGGGAGCAGGGGCTAGAATTTTAAGAGTAATGGGGAGTCCACCAGGTCTCTTTATTTGAGTTATATGGGTTGTCATCAGTGACTCAGGTCGGGGTAACAGAGAATTAGTGGTCTTGAAGTGGAAAAAAACCATTCTTATAACCACTACTTAAGTTTAACACTTATGGAGGTGTTTTCATTGTTCAACATTTAAACACCTGAACTACTTTTTCAGGGTTAAGATCTATCTCCAGTAGCCAAACATATACTATGCTATTACTATTGAAACAGCTGGAACTCTTATATCTCACAAATTGTAGGAATGTTTCTGGGGGAAAGCAATTGGAAGGAGCTTTCTCCTTCAGTCCAACACCTGATTTTGAGATAGTTGTGAAGAAAAGTATTATAGTTAAAAGGATAGGATTGTGTCTTCTGTTGTCTTTTGTCTCTAGAGTAAGCTTGCTACTAAACTAAATACCTTTGTAACTCTGTGTATACATATTCATACATAATGACAAAAATGTTAGCTTGGTTTTATACGAGACTGAACTTTTTTTTTTTTTGTGATAGATGTACAAGTGGAAAAAACAGTGCTAATAAAGTTTGTTTTGGGCATCTAGCAACTGTTATGATAAACTGGAAAAGCAAAATCTCAGTTTCTAGCGTAACTGCAGTTCTACTGGCAAGATGCTTCTGGAAGCCACACAACTTTCCAGGGTTCATGTTCCAATAGATTACTTTTAATCTGAACTGACCTAAAACCTGCCTGAGGAGATCTTTATTGAGCATGGCACGTAACTCAAGCTCCTCTTGCTGCTTGATGTTGGACTCTGTCCCTCCAGGTCTGCTGCAAGTTTCAGCAAGGCTTCCTGAATAGCTTGAGAGTTATGTGCAAGGATTTCAGTTATCCCTCGAATTTTTTTTTTTTTTTTTAAAAAAAGCCATTAAATGTGTTTTTCATGGGATTTATTTAATATCTGGTTTCTGTCTTTTTCTGGCTACTATAGAAAGGTCACTGGATTCTGACAGTACTGCAATATCCTAAACAAAGTACCAAGAATGTGAAATTGCGCTCTTTGCTGGACGAGTGTCTGACACTTGGTTATGTCTATGAAAGACACAGGCATGCTAGAATTTCAGTATATTTTCTACTCTTTTCCTTGATTTATTTATATATCTTTTTTGTAGGGCTCCCAGAGGGCCTTAGTTACCTATAATAGCCAACTTCAGAAAGAGTCTGAGTAGCTGAAGACTTCCTTTGTTTAAAATCAGTGAAGATGGGTGTTATGTGGCCATGCTTATCGGGAGGCTTGCCTTCTGCTTTGGCACTGGGATGTGGTTGGCAGAAGAGCTGGTTGTGTAAGTTTTGGAGAAGTGGAGAGTCCAACTGTGCCAGCAGTGACTGAATGCCTTGCGCAGGCAGCGTTGCTATGTTGGCTAACAGTGTGAGCTATTTTGTCAAATAGGCAGTGTTGTGAGATAGGACACTTTCTGTCTTTGCCATGGGGAGCAACGTAGTCTGTAGCTGTGGATGGGGCTGACTCGCTTTGACATGTTTGGTCTGTTTTATTGTTTTGTTAGTCAGGTTGTCATCTTACTCGAAACCAAGAGCTGAACAGACCACTCCCATAAAGCCTCCTTTCCCCCAAAAGATGTCCAGTTAATTTTTTTTTTTTACTTAGCACTGTTGATTTAATCAATCCCCTGCTCCTGAAAATGGGCCAAAACCTTCAAAAAGCACTGTCTGGGAAGTTCTCTAATTATGTTGGAAAGCTGTCATGGCTGGATGACAGAAAGCTGCCACCTAAGGTATATCTTTGGCTTGGATCGGTCACAGAATCGCTGGGGCTGGAAGGCACCTTTGGAGATCATCTAGTCCAACTCTCCTGCTCAGACCAGCTACAGCAGGTTGCTCAGGACCATGTCCAGCTGGGTTTTGAGCATCTCTAAGGAGATTACACAGCCCCCTCAGGACAAACTGTTTCAGTTTTTAATCACTCTTGTGGTGTGTGTGTATGTATATGTATGTGGTGTGTGTGTGTGTGTATATATATATATAAAAGTGGAATTTGTTCCGTTTCAGTTTGTGCCTACTGCCTCTCATTCTTTCACTGGGCACCACTCAGTCTTCTCCACACCCTCATCAATAAGATCTCCCTGAGCCTTCTGCCAGCTCTTTCAGCCTTTCCTTGTATGAAGACACTCTAGTCCCTTAATCATCTTCATAGCCCTTTGTTGGGCTCACTCCAGTATGTTCACGTCTGCCTTGTTCTGGGGAGCCCAGACCAGGGCCCAGCACTCCAGATGGGTGTCACCAGTGCTGAGCAGAGGCAGAGGATCACCTCCCTCACCCTGCTGACAACACTCCTCCTAATGCAGCCCAAGATGCTGTTGGCCTTCATCTGCTGCAAGGGCATGTTGCTGGCTCATATCAACTTGGTGTCCACCAGGTCCTCCTCTGCCAAGCTGCTTTCCAGCCGAGCAGTCCACAGCCTGTAATGGTGCATGGGGTTGTTCCTCCCCAGGGGCAGGACTTGGCATTTCCTTTTGAACTTCATGAGGTTCCTGTTGGCCCATTTCCTCAGCCTGTTGAGGTCCCTCTGAATAGCAGCACACCTGTCTGTTCTGTCAGCCACTCCTCATGGTTTTCTATCATCTGCAGACTTGCTGAGGGTGCATTCAGTCCCATCATCTGGATCATTAATGAAGATGTTGAACAGCTGAGCACTGACTTCTGGGGCACACCACTGGTTACTCCAGCTGGACTTTGTGTCATTGATCGCAACCTTTTGAGCCTGGCATTTTGGACAGTTTTCAGTCCCTTTCACTGTATACTCATCTGGCCTGTACTCCATCAGTTTGTGTATGAGGATGTTACAGGAGACAGTGTCCAAAGCCTTGCTGAAGTCAAGATAAACAATGTCCACTGCTTTGCCATCGTCCACTGAACTAGTCATTTCATCATGGAAGGCTGTCAGGTTGGTCAGGCATGATTTCCTCTTCATATATCTTTGCTAATTCCCACTATCACCACCCTAATGCTCTGGAGTGGCACAGGCTCAGCAGCCTCTGATGCTTCTTTGAAAAGAGCTTCCAGCCCCTAGACTGCTACCAAGGCACTGAACCTAGGCCCGTATTTCTAAATTTGTTCTGTCAGTTCTTACAGTCTGTTGTAACTTATTTTTTATAGTACCCTAATCAATCTGGCTCTGATTTAGCTTGTCATTTTTTGTTTCCTTCCCTCTTTCCTTGGTTAGAAGGATGTGCCAGGTGATGACTTATGTTTATCTTTCGAGTTCTTGCCAAAACAAGGCTGCCACTTATTTGTTAGAGACCTAGGATAAAGACATATTCTTTGCACATTGTATAGGAGGTGGTTTGTGATGGCCCATGCTGCCTGTGAAAACTCAGGAGAACGTTGTCTCCCTCTCAGGTGAGCTTTGGTCCTGCTGGATGTGCAAGAAAAGCACAGTTAACCTCACAGTGTTCATGCTCAAACTTGAGAGGACTATTTTTCATCCAAGACTTGGTCATTATGGACTTCTAAGCTACAGATAATTGATTTGAGTAGGGTTTGAAATTGAGAAAGCTGTGTAAAAAGCAGAGGGGAGGTAAGATAGGTATTTTTGGTAGTTTGTGTTGCTGAGATGTTCTCCTGCACCTCCTACCAGTTGAGACTTTTTGGGTTTTGAAAGTTTTGTTCCCTCAAGGAAATAAAGAAGCTTTCAAAATAATTGGTTCATGTTGACGTAGTGTGGCTATGATTACCTACTACTTCTGTGGAAAGGTTTGGCAGTTTGAGTTGTAGTCTGCAATGCTGTAAGCATTTGCCATGACTGACACTGTGTTCTGATCCATTTTCCATGTTTCTTCGTAAAGCTGTCCTATAGTGTGTATATTGAAATATAATACCTGCTAATGTGCTTAAAACCAGAGTTTGTCATGAGAGAAATATGTAACATGGGTATTTCTTGCATTTTTATGCATTTGTAGGTTTCCAAAGTGGCTGGTTTGAGTTGGTTGGAAGATGACATTTTTATTTCTAGTCTGTAGGTGATGAATGGCAGTTGTCTTTATGATCTGTGGCTGCCAGAATTTCCTATCTGTTGGGCAATATTTCATGTCAGCCACTCGGAAAACAATCCAGTGCAGAAGCAAGACAAAACTACTATGCTTGCTGCAGGCAGTAATGGGGAAATATGATGCTTTGAAGCAAGCCTAGAGAATACGTTTGGCAAAAATAAATGTATACAGTACAAAAAGCATGTGTTAGGAGTTCCAGAGTGTATCACAAGCAGATAACTCTGGTGATGACTTCTGTTTATAATGAAGAAAGCAAATTTTCTTTCTTAAAGAAAAAAAAAAAGCAAAACTAAGTCTTCATGTTTGTATTCGACTGGCTCCTTTTTTAATGGGTCTATTCAGAAAATAGTTTGCCAGACAGATCATTCTAGCTTCTCTTGTATTCATGGCACCATCATGTATTTCTGGTTTTTATTAAGGATTTTCTGACTTCATCTATAGGCAGCAGAGGGTTAAAGGCTATATAGCAACATGCATGCAGCAGCACTTTTGATGAAAGCTGTCCAGAATTATACATTAATTTAGTGGAGCTTTAAGTTCAATACCAGGAAAAAATACTTTCCCCCGTTTGATTCCTTAATTTGTGAATTAATTGTTGGATATTATCATGCACTGATAGAATAAGGATTAACCTGGGAAAAAACTTTCACTGCCATTCAGGATTTCTGTCTTTTAATCCTGTTATGCTCTCATCTTTGTGCGTGTTTGTTGTGATCTGCAGGGGAGAGGGAGGTTTCAGTGAGAACAGTGTTACATTTGTGTGTGGTGCCTGGGTACCCTGGATTTGAGTGAGAGGGAAGATGATTTGATTGCTGCAGGTTTGTGGAGATTTCTGGCATAAACAGAATTTCCTGATGAACAAATGAGTTTTTATTGCCAAACAAGCCTTAAGCTGTCAGTAAGCAACTCTCATGGATCTTGTGCAACAGATGGACAAATATGTAAATACATTGCTGTGCTCCTCTGAGTAAACTTAATTATATCAAAATTAAAGCTCACTTGCTTATTCTTCTTCATAATAAAACCAGATGAATCTGAAGGAGGGTGCCTTTTACGGGTCTGCGTAAATTTAAGTTGTATGATATTGTCAATCATATACCTTCTGGCTGTATTACATTTCTTGGATCAAATCTGCAAAAATATTGTGTGTGCAGCAATCAATTTTTTGCAGATATAATAGCAGATGCAAGTATGAGAATTAACAAAGCATTGCATGTACGTGCCATGCACAATTTGAAGCTTTCTCCCTCCTTGGCCCCAAATATGCGTTGCGTAACAAACGCTTGCCCTGGGAGCAGTGATTCAGAATTGGTAAATCTTGGGCTGGGACTTGGTGGGACGGAGGGAAAAAAAAAAAAAACAACACTGCCAGCAATCCCTTCCACCACACGTGCACAAAAACCTACCCACCGCCACCAAAATATGACCCAGTGTCATATTCCTAAATTTACTTTATTCTAATAGGTGACTGTCCATTTTTTTTTCCCCTCTCCAAAATGGTTGGGAACACTACAATTCACAAATAAGCATTGCTGTAAGGTAAACGCTTGTTCTTAGCATTTGTCGTTAGGTCTGCCTTTTTGTACATGCATGGCTTTCAAGTTGCATTTCCACGTCTGAGTTGCATTCACTGTTGGTTTTTTTTCTTTTTTTTCCCTTTTTAGTGGACTATATCGTGGAATATGACTATGATGCAGTGCACGATGATGAGTTAACGATCCGAGTTGGGGAAATCATCAGGAATGTGAAAAAACTGGAAGAAGAAGGATGGTTAGAAGGGGAGCTAAATGGCAAAAGGGGCATGTTCCCTGACAATTTTGTGAAGGTGAGTCTTCTGCATTGACTTGGTTTTACTGTGATCGTACAGTAGGCTAGTTATTATTGAAATGGTTAGAATCACATCAGTTGTATTTGTAACAACATGATTTTTTTAACTGGAAGACCTTTGAGATGATCACATTTTTTTTAGTATGCTTTTGAAGGCCTTTTTTGAGTAAGTTCTGCTGTCTGTTCTTACTCACTTCAGCATTTCTTTTGGTCTGCACCCTTGCACTGTATGTTCTGTTTCCTTCCTACTGCTGCAGTGCACTAACAGTTGTCTGTAGCCATGGTTACCTGCTTTAGTGAGATGAACTGATTAAAAAACCAAACCCACAAAACCCCCCAAACCTACCCCTACAGAAGACATCAAGTCATGAGAGAGTTGGGAAAGTGGGGTCACAGCTCAGTCAGCTCGGCTATAATGAAAAACTATGTCCTCAAGCTGTGGTTGTGTGGGTGCTTCAGCCTGGATTAAGCTGCTTTGTTTGAAGGAGCAATTCTGCCCTACTCTGGACTCCCTGCTGCTGGCACTGCCTTTCTCGTGACCGTGCAAAGGGACAGGGCAGGGAACATGTCCAGCTAAAAGGTTGGTTGGTTTCCTGACCAGGCTCCCCATTTGTCAGCAGCAAATACCTGAAACGTGAAGGGTGTGAGGTAAGTGCTCCACTGGGCTGCAGCACTGTCGTGTCTTTGGATTAGTCATAATCTTTCTAAATACAATCCTCTTCTCTGGGATCTCTGTCTCGCTCAGTGCTGTGCAACTGACTTGCGTAGTTGTCTTCTGCTGTGAGATATTGCTTCTCAAACCTTTTATTTAACCTTTTATATTTATTCTGTGTTTGTGTCCTAATTTTAATTGAAGTTCTTGTTTGCATCTTTCACATTTTTCCTGTTTTCTCTGCAAATTTTCTAAATGTAATATTGAGTATGCATCTATTTATTAGTTACTTACAATGAAGAAGTCTGCAAAGCAGCTAGGTGTGCTAGTCAGCGTGTGACTTCTGAAATTCAAAGTCTGCTGAGCTGCAGGTATTTTCTCATCTAAACTACGCAAGTGTTATGGAGATGTTATGCTTTATGGAAGCTTCTTTATGGAAGTTACTAACAAGGTCAGAAAGCATGAAGTATAGTGAAAGAGAATTTAGATATTCCTGTCTCTTTTGAAGTGAAATTAATTCTTTGCAAAACAGAATTATCTAATGTATCTTACTGTGATATTTTCGTATCCTTAAACCTAAGGGGAAATTTGTTCAGTTCTATAAACACTTCTTTACACTTGCTTACATTAAATTTGACAATTTTTCTGTTCATCTTACTGAAAAAGCAAAATTACTCATTTTTGATTTACTGCAGAGGGATTTAAGGATCTACCTTTTAAAACTGATGGGAATAATCCAGTTGTTCTCAGAGAGGGTCTTTTACCAAGGAAAAGTTTGTACGAATGCCTTTCATTTGTCTAATATTTTAAGTTGTTTGTAGTTCGGTTCAAAATCCCTTTTGGGTTTTGAGTCCTGTATAAATAGTAGTTTTACCTTAAGTGGTGTTTTGGCGATTACTGTGGTGATGATGTACTTAATTAGCACTCAAGTGCCATACAGGAGGGAAAGTGTCAGACATGGCTCTTCTCTGGTTCTTGTGTCATCAAGGCTGTCTTTCTACTGAACAGCAAAGAGGAGTCGGATGTGGCTTGTTTCCATGTTAAATGCTAAACTTCTTGGGCGTTTTCTTGCCCTTCTGCAGCTGTGGCTTTTATAAACTTCATTTTAAATTATTTCCATCCTGAAAAATCTTTATGCATCTCAGCTCCATGTATTTTTAACTATACTGCTGTTCAGTATGTGCATGGCATGGTTGGATATCCTGAATTACAGGGGACAGTCTGTTTTCTAGAAGGCGTAGGGATTTGGAGAAGTGGAAAGGAAGTTGTGTAGAAGAAAATTACCTCTTTGGTTTCATGACAACAGGGGATAACTTGCCTTCTTGGGGCTGGACTTGGGAACTTTTTAAGACAGTATGCATAGGCTGGAAGGCTGTTGTGCAGTGATGAGATGATGGGAAAGCATTAATTGTTAGGGAAGTGCAAGTCATGGTTTTCTTCATGCCCAATTTGATTATAGTTTCTTCTTAAAGGTTAACTTACAGGTAGTGATAGTTTGAGAGACTTCTTTTGGGAAAGCTGTTGCAGAAAAGTGGGCTTTTTCTGCCTCCACCCCCCAACTGTTCTCATTTGCTGCTGCAGTAGGTTGTTGATAGTGCAGGATCTATGAAACGCTACTGTGACCGGACCACCGCAAATACCAAGCCTCAACAATTAAACTCAAATGCTCCAGGTTGGCCTGGTGCAATGTTAACACCTGCAAGGTGTGGATGAACTGTAGGAGGCAGGTGAAACAAGCTGAAGCAGGGTTGTACTTTGGCCTTGTGAACACAGAAGGTCCATTGAGAAATGGATTTACTCATTTGCTGCCTCACCCAGTAGCTCACCACCACCAGGTGGTGGTGGCCTCTGTGTCCTCTGAGCTTTCTATGGAAAGGAATGTCACTGCTCTAAGCAGGAACCTCCCTACAGCTTCTGCAAGGGGGTGTAGGGTTGAAAGTAGAGCAGTGTAGCAAATTGATTGGGAGGAGTAATGACAAGAAGGATGCTGAAGAGGGACAAATATTGCTAACTTCTCATGACCCACGGGAAAGCAAAAGGAGGCTGAAGGTATGAAAGGAGTGGGGAGGAAACAGGTGGAAGGACACTAGGCTGGGAGGACTGGGGGGACCTCGGGTGCGTGGGGTAGATCTCCCGGCTGAGGACAGTAGAAACGTGACCACAGAGAGCAAATTGGTGTGGACAGGACCAAGGGTTGCACCAAGTTTTACATGTTTGGATGCAAAATTCTGGGACTGTACTTGAATATTTATTCCTTCCTGAGAGGATCATCATCTTCTCCTGTTATGAGTGTAATTTCACGCATTAGTTGGGGATCTGGCCTGAACTCATTATATGGATAAACTTGGGCTTTTTTTGTGATATATATGCGGGTTCGTTAAGAATTGAACTGAGGCCAGGGTATAACCTCTCCATGCAGAATTTGGATGGTAAATTATAATCTGTGCTGATCTGAAAAAGACTAGCATTTGAAGCTGAAAGTGCACGTGTTATCCACTCCATTTGCCTAGCCTCTTCATATATAAAATATTTAAAAACATAATAAATATATGACAGATTAAACTGGGTGAAGATGGACGTGTTTTCTTTTTCAAATGTTAGATATTTTTAGAGAAGATAAATGAGTTCTTTAAAAGAAGCCTTTTGATTTTCATCTGACAACTGCAGGAGAATTGGGGGGAGGTACTAATTCCAGCTAGTTTGGTTTTTGCTTGTTTTGCTAGTTTGTCTCTTCTTCATCCTGTCCGAGGACAGGAAAAGAGCTTTTTGCCTTGGTGGCAGCTGCAAACTGTCCTTGGCTGCCGGGCAGCGTGCGCCGCTTCATGCCTGTTTGAAGGACAACCAAAATGTCGACAGGAGGATTATGGCTGCATGCAGCCTCGATGTGTTGGATGCCCCAGATTTGGACTGTATCATCACTGCTAAAGCAGATCAGTCCCCTTCTGTTCCTTCCCTTTGGGCTCCACTAATACGTAAGATTTACTGACATTTTACACCACTCCTCATGCTTTGATTTTGCATGCTTTGACAAATGCATCTTCTCTGTTTAAGTTGACCAAGTGTTATCAACTTCATTTTGAGTTGTTAGTCATGCAGGAAATAGCTTTTTGATTATGTCTTCCTTTTTTTTCTAAATATTGCAAAATAGTTTTATGTAGTGGTAGTGGGTTTATGTTTCATGTAGTAGTAGCAATTGGGTCTTTGCTGTCAGAAGAGCAGCAAAGGAAGCTGACGTGTTTTCAAATGGGTTAATTTGTTGTACAGACAAGTAGGTGAGCTAAACGCTATATGACTTTGAAATAGTCATATGCAGAAGGGAATGTATAGAAGCTTCCTGTGGATACTAATGTGATGCTGATGCTTGGTACCTTATAACATCTGCTGGTAACTTTTTGGTTGTTTTTTTTTGCCTTCTAGCCAAACTTTCTGCCTGTTGACGGTGAGATCCTGAAGAAGGATCAGAGCTTAGTGCTGCCTGGTTCCTAGTGCCAGCTGGGACCCGGGCATTTTCTGCGAGCTTGTCACTTGATGGGTTAACCAGCAGTCTGAGATAGTCTGTCCCAAAAGGTGCAGTTCTTGGTGCTGACTTCCACTTGTGGTGTTCTGCATTAAAAGAAAGAGAACAGGTAGACTCAGTTAAGGGGAACCACATAAAGCCTCCAGAACATCCTCAGATACTAGTGTGACAGTGTCGCTGCGTTGGATGGAGAGCGGGAGTTATAGTAAAGCTTGGGGGGGAAGTCAGGGGGTGGGATGTCCAAAGAAGTCCTGGAATCAGAGCTCAGGGGTGGTGGAGAAGCTTGCAGTGACTGTATAGTTGAAAACAAGTGGGTAAAAAAGGTACAAGCAATTACACTGCCCGCTTGTGAAGCTCCCTTCCTTGAATTCACTTTTCAGTACTAGGCCTTTTTAAAGATTTTCTGCCTGTATCGCAGTGTTGAATTTTGGACTGCACATATTTCCAATTTTATTAACAAAACCTGATTTGAAATTCCCGTTTGAACTGTGTGCATATACGCTTTTAGTGGGGTTGAAATATTTGAATTAGAGTTCTTGTTCCTGACATTGTTATTGCCATTTTTCTCCCTCTTCCTGTATGGGCAATTTAAAATAAACAACTTCATAAATTCCTGAAAGGAATTAGCAGTGGAAACCTAACAGACTTTTATTGTTTTCTTTGAGAGTGGCTTTTCCTTTCTGAGATTCATCACAGTGCGAAATGTGCATACCGACATTCATCTCCAGTATGGCTTAGAGCAGTGCAGTTACACTGTTAGATTGAATGTGTGAGGGTTTTGGAGATGTTAAGGTGTGTGGGATGTGGAAGGCTTTTTGGTTTTGTGTTG